CAGCAAACTCCACAATCCACTGACAACAAGCGTAACAGTGTAAAAATATTCCTATAATTGTTTTCACCACCTTGCATGTGGATCCAGGCACTTATTAAGACTTATGGAGGTTCTCGCTACCTTATAATGCTTCTAAAGAAGTCTTTAGACAGTATCTCTATGTTCTCTTGCTCTTAGAAGCACAAAAGTTTGTCCCATGTGTAATTCGCCATTTTGTTTGCTGTGACCACACCCACTTACGTGCAGGAGTGTGGGTGGGTGGTTGTTAAGGCTTGTTATTTCTCCAATACAATGTGTATAGAAGAAATGTAAGGTGTGACATACAAACATCGCATGTGGGTGAAATCAATTATATATATAGGAACGACCTGGGGGGGCTACACCCCCAGGTCGTTCATGAGCACCATGCAAAAATCCCAGCTACCATAGTTCCATTTATGTGGTAATTTACGTCGTATGTTAATATTTGCTACTTTCATGCTCACGTTAAATCTACAAAATATAAACCAATTACTCTAATGCCATACTATAGACTATGCCAAGTACACAAAAATTAGCTCACACAAATTTTAATTTTTGAGCACATTCCTTTAAAAACAAAATTTTTAACATTTGAAAATTTCTAAGTACATGTATATTTACTATTTTATCTAAAATTGATTTGATGCTTTTGTACGCACAAATTTATTATACATCACCACTTTATTTTTATAATCCAAAGTACATGTACTAATGCTACTGTACGTGACTACAGCACATGCATCACTAACTTGAAGAGTAATGCTGGTCTCGTTATTCCAAAAGTTAACATTATAGACTGCTGTCAAATTAGTATACTCTGGAATGGATAATGACTTATTGTATGATATTCCCATGATGACACAAGTAGCTTCCTTTAATTGAAAAATAACAATAAATTAAAGGTATTGTTTGAATACCCAAGTAAAGAGTTCTGACTACCATGCATATAATCACATGTACATGTACACATAGGTGATACCATCTAGTGGAAAATTTTGGAGGGAATTAAATTTGGTGAATTTGGCGTTTTGATAGCCATTTGCCAAAATAAAATCTGCTATTTTGAGCCATTATACTCATGCTCAATGGCATGTGGCCACTAACTCACCAAATTAAAATTCGGCAGTCACCAAAATTTAGCAATTCACTAAATTTAACTCCCTTCAAAATTTCCCGCTATACAATATACATGCAATATAAGCTATTACACACAGTACGTGTATATACATGTACATTGTACATGTAACTGAAAACAGTGCATTAGGAGGCTAACTGAGTTACATGTACATATACTTACGGCAAAGGTCCAGACTGCCATGTAACACCACAATGCCAGCTTTCCTGAATTATAAAAAATAATAATCAATATTGTTAGTTTGTTACATTACCTTACCAGTTATTATCATTATGAAAAGCTTAGACAGCAAGCTCCTTGCCTATATAATGAAGCACAACAATACTAACAATCACTCAAATACTAACCAAACCATACAAACACGTACACATGTACATACAAGAGCATAAGAAGAGCCTACTTCAGTGATATAATCAAGCTAAGCCTATGGTTTTTTGAATTCTAAGCCACTTTAAAAACTGACTTAAGTCAACTTCCTACACCACATAAGATTAAAAGGTAATAAAAATGAAGAATTCCTATACTGTAGATTATTACCAGAAACAATGGTCTTTGGCCAAATTTTTAAGCAAATAAATTTCTCTGCCCTAATTCTTCGTAAATGGACAGGAAAAATGCTTTTGCTGATTTTATTTTTGTGACTGCACCTTGGCCAAGTTGGCCAGGCTATTAAATTTTTAGAGTTTAAATTTCACAAAATTCTCAAAATTAGCAGAAATTTTGGGCCAATTTTTTCCAGCTGGAATAAATATACTTGATGCTCAAAAAGGACACTGGGCAACAGTGTAACACCTTATCAATTTGCTGCACCTAGACTGTAGTGTAGTGCATACATAATTATTATTACCTGATACTCTTCTGATAATATTACACTCAATGGAAAATATTTATTAAACTGTGAATAGATAACAGCCATCAGTATACCAAGAAGTAGACGCTGTAGGCCAGGCAATAGACTACAAATACACACATACAATAAACAGAGAGCAGTTCAGGCCTTACCTTGATGGAGTAGCTTTATAATCAAATAATATACTTGATATGAAATGCTTGTATCTTATATAGCTTATCTGGAAAAGGAGGGAGGGCAAGAGGAAGAGAGTGAGAGAAAGGGCCAAGTACATACTATACATGTACCTGTACTTGTTACAATAATAATTAAAATCATGGATTAATTCAATCACTAAAATTTAATTGGTAAGTACAGAATCAGTCATTTGCATAATGATAAGTACTTACTGCATAGCTGGAAATAGCTTCCAAATTTTCCAAGTGGCAAAATTTAAATTTGACAATTACCGTATAGCTAGAAAACTTGGTAGAGTAAAATTTTGATGAATTTGGAAAATTGAGGTTCCTTTG